TTTGTTTAATCAACTTTATCCCAATACAAAATAAAAAGTATAAAAATGCTGATTCCAGGCCCCAAACCCCAAGATTATGATTCTGTATTTATGCAACAGGGCTTAGGCATCTTCACTTTGACATTTTCCATATGCACAAAGTTTGATCTTTGAGCCAATTTTGACCATAGACAGATTCAAGGCTCCTCTTGGGACTGGAACTGGATTGGCTTCCCCTGCTGATGATGCTCCCCTGTTGGTTCCAAGATTCAGTGGGTAAAGGGAGCAGGTTTGATGGACAAGAAATAGGTTGGATTAAACCTTCTGTAGTCTAAACATTTTTGAGAAACTGCAGAGAATAATGAGAATTATTTCAGAGTGTTCACTCCTAAGGAATCTCAAGTTCCCCAGGTGGCCAACATCTATCCCTAAGGGAATAGGCTGTAGTGGTTAGGGAGTGGATGCTGCCAAGAGGGTTGGCTTTCTAGAGCAGCAAGAAGACCACAGAATAACACACGCGTGCGCGCGCACACACACACACACACACACACACAGAGTCTTCTACTTATTGTCTGCTTCAGGAAATTCTATCTGATAGAGCATTACCATTTTAACTTTAAGATTTTGTCCTTTTTAAAGATGCAGGTGTCCATGTGAGTGTCAATATGTGAAGCCAGTATCAGCCATTTACTCCCAGCCTCTGGTCTTTATTTGAGAGCAGTTTTTGATAAGCTAGAAGAGGAAGAAGAGCATGATGGTCTGGGGCTAGGGCTGAGCAAAGGGGGTCTGGTTGCCAGCCTGAAGGCAAACTTCTTTGTCAGTAAATCCATAGAGGGCACTAGTTTATCCAGCCAAGACTGAGGGAGCTCAGCTGTTCCCAGTCCTTTAGTGAGCTAGGGGAGGGCCTCTGGGTCAGCTGTTTGGATTCTGTGTATAGGAGAAGTGCCTTTCTGAGAGTCGCCTGCCCAGCTGGACCTGAGGCCCTTCAGGAGTTCTGTGTTTGCTCACATCCCTGACTGCTCCCAGGTAAACAAATCTTGTTTCTGTCTCCCAGAAAGGCAGAGCTCCAGCACTGTGGCAGGCTGTTGTTATAGTTACTGATATATGACTTATCGCAGCAATTGTCAGAGCGATGGAATAAAATGCAATTTAGCACCAGCTGCTCGTAGGGGTTGTGCGAGAAGAGAAAGGGAAGAGAAAGCTGCTCAAGAGACCTGGGGAGGGAGCTGGCTTTGTGGGTTTATATATATGGTATGATATTCGAGTGTGGGCAAAGGAGGTCTTATATTCTCAGTGAGTCGGGAAGAACCTTGGTGAAAAACAGCCAGTCTCAAATAGCTTCATCTAGGTTTCATATCCCTGACACTCCACCAGCAATGCTTCATTCCTGTGAGTTAAGCACTGCTTTTATGAAGGGGAAGATCATGCCTTAAATTGTATTGGGTTGGTCAAAATGTTTGTTTGTTCAATGAACACATTGTTCAATACATTTCTTGAAAAGGAAAATATGTCTTTTATTTTAACTTAAAACTAATGAACTTTTTGGCTAACCCAATACTTCAGAATGAGTTTGCCAGGTACCTTTCTTCCTCAGGTTTTCTAGAGCAATGGGGACAGATGGGAAAAGGGAAAGTGAAAGTGTTAATCTCTCAGTCATGTCTGACTCTCTGTGACCCTATGAACTGTAGCCCACCAGGCTCCTCTGTCCATTGAACACTTCAGGCAAGAATACTGGAGTGGGTTGCCATTCCCTTCTCCAGGGGATCTTCTCAATCCAAGGATCGAACCCAGGCCTCCTGCACTGGCAGGTGGATTCTTTACCATCTGAGCCACCAGGATGAAGGGGAGTACATCAGGTAAAGATTTGACCTACTTTCCAAACTCAGGAATAGGGCTGCTATTGGTAGTATCCTCTTTGGAAACTCTTCTGTGCTCTGCACTCTTTCAAAACAGTTATGATGCTAAATGGGATTGAATATGAAAGTCCAGGATGTCTTGTTCAAGCAGCTAGCTGTGTGCTTTTCCAAGAGATACACACAAGCCCTTCTTACTCATCGCAAGTATTTATCTGTCACCCATTATATACTAGGCACCGGGTCAGGTGCAGATGGCAGATACATGAAAACATGGAAAGTGGGGCATTAGATTATGCTTCCCATTTAAGAAATCATCTAATTACAAAGTCTAGTAAGGCTAGCTTCTTTCCACAAATAAGGCTGACCTTACATGTTTACTATGTGCTTGGTGTCAAGTGAAGGGTAGAGTCAATGGCTACATCATCCCAGAGGTGGGCAAGGTCATCATGGAGGGGAGTAGCTGGGTAAGCCTTAGTTCAGAATAGCACATTAAATCACTCAGACACTTAGCAGGGCTCTAGAGAAAAGGGTCCCAGAACAAATCAGTTGTGATAGGGATGGTGATGTGGACTGGGAGTGGTCTGCTTTGCTGTATATCCAAATCCTATAGACCTGTCCTTTCTAGAGAGGTCATTCATCCTCCACTGATGTGTGTGTGTGTGTGTGTGTGTGTGTGTTAGTCATTCAGTTGTGTCTGACTCTTTGAGACCCCATGGACTCCTCTGTCCATAGGATTCTCAAGGAAAGAATACTGGAGTGGATTGCCATTTCCTTTTCCACCTCCACTGATGTACCCTGTCTCAAAGATCCTGTGCTGGGAGTTCTCAGACTTAACTCAGACAGCCAGGGGAGCAGTATAGCCTAGTGCTTAAGAGGGTGGTTTTAGGGGCCAGGCAGCCTGGGTTTGAATGCTGGCTCTGACATTTATACCATCCTGTGGCTCAATTTGTCTCATCAGTATCATGGGGACAATCAGAATAGTGCCTGCCTCCCAGAGTAGCTGGGAGGATTAAATGGTGTGAGATGCTTAGCACAGTGCAGTTGCATGCGATTCATTCATAAAATAAATATTTATTGAGTGCCTTTGATATTGCAGGCACTCTCCCAGTGCTGGGATACAGCAGTGGAGAAGAGAGATAAGTCCCCTTCTCTCTTGGCACCGTATTAAATGTTGATTCAGGCCCTTTACCCAAGGAACTTTTAATCTAGTATCTTGTTTTCTGCTCTGTCAGTTCCAATTCCTGGTCTGTGAGTTATCAGTTGGCTTATTTTCATTCCTTTTTGTTTAACTAGGCAAGTATTAAAGCTATGAATTCCCTTTAAACTCAGCTTTGGTCATGTCCCATAAGATTTGATGTTAAGTCTTTTCATTATCAGTATTTTTTAAGCACTTTGCAAGTTGGGTTTCGGTTTGTGCTATTTGTACCTTTTAGTGTATTGTGGTATTCCATGTTGATGACTCTGTATTCTCTTTGTTCCTACTACATGCCTCTATGTACATATGTGCTCAATCATGTCCAGCTCTTTGCAATCCCATGGATTGTAGCCCGCCAGGTTCCTCTGTCCATGGGATTATCCAGGCAAGAATACTGGAGTGGGTTGCCATTTCCTCCTCCAGGGGATTTTCCCGACCCAGGGATCGACCAAGGACTGACCCAGGGATTCTGCATTGGCAGATGGATTCTTTACAACTGTGCCACCTGGGAAGTCCACTGCATACCCCTACTATGCTCTGAAAGAAGAGAGACAGTGGAGACCTTCCTGACTTGTGGGGTTTAGAAGGGCCCAGAGGGAAACAAGACTAGAAAAGATCATTAATGAAGGGTAATGAGTGCTAGTCTTTATGGGTTGGCGTCTCTTCTAGGGAAGAGCCATTGGAGTCACTGAAAGGATGAAAAGGAATGAGAAGATTGTTATGTTATTTGGGGAAGAATAAGCCATGTCATTGCTGAGGACAATTTGAGAGGAAGAAAGAGAGTAGAAGCAGGGAGTCCAGATAGAAGCTTTCATGCTAGTCGAGTGTAGGGATTCTCAAACATGAGTGGCATCGCAGTCCCCTGGAGGGCTTGCTGGGCCCCATCCCCAGAGTGTCTGATCCAGTCTGATCCAGATCCAGTCTGATCTGGAGGCTTTCACATTTGCATTTTCTAACAAGTTCCCCTGGTGATGCTAATGCTGATGGTCCCGGAAGCACACTTGGGGAATTACTCATCTAGGAGAGAGATGATGAGAACCTGAGGCAGAGTGGCAGGAGATGGGTTAGAGAGGAAAAAAAGCACATAAAAGATATTGGGAAGGAAAAACTCACTGGGCTTGGGGATTGAATATGAAGACAAGAGAGAGGAAGAACTCAAAGGTAACTCCAGAGTATTAAACTTTGGTTCCTCGGAAGATAGGAGAAACGCAGAGGCAAAACTCCAAACATCTAGGGGTGGAATGTAGTCACATGAATGAAACTAAGAGATATGTGTAAGTTCCTGGATCCATCTGCATCTGTGCCACAGCACTCAAGTTTAAAGGCCTCCTGTCCTTCAGGAAAGAGCAGGTGAGGAGAAAACTCAGGTCTGTGTTTCATCTCCCCTTCTCTCAAAAGTGACCTTTGAGTAGACAAAGGAAATGAAGATATAGAGCAGGAGATAGGGAGCATAGAAAGAGTTAGAATATTCTGGAAATGGAGAGCACAATTTTAGGTTGTGTGGACGCTTAGTTGCTCAGTCCTGTCCTACTCTTTGTGACCCCAAGGACTGTAGCCCACCAGGCTCCTCTGTCCATGGGATTTCCCAGGCATGGATACTGGAGTGGGTTGCCATTTCCTCCTCCAGGGGCTCTTCCCTACCCTTCCCTACAGGGATCAAACCCATGTATCTTGCATCTCCTGCACTGGCAGGCAGATTCTTTACCACTATGCTACCTGGGAAGCCTGAGCATTGAATATATGTCAGCAAATGTTAATAAGGAAAAAGCAAATGAGTAAAGCTCAGTATGGGCCATGCAGGGTAGCTCTAGGATCCCACGTGAGATCACTGGTGCTATTTTGGAGAGGAGAGGGTTGCCATTATAGGGCTTCTCAACTCCAGCCTACCTAACCTTCCTTAGTTTCATGGCTTCTGACCCTGTGATGCTATGTTGTCCCTGGTTATTTCCCAGGCTGTAGGGAATTCTTACCTGCTTCTCTCCACTGGGCCGCCTGTAGCTGAGCAGAAGCTCCACAGCACCCACCACTTCCTTGCGGATGGCGTAGAGCAGTGCATCGCCGACGTACACGCTGTGGTTCAGCAGGAGCTCCATGATCTCCAAGTTCTCATTCTCAATGGCAATGAGCAGGGCGCTCCGGCCCAGTGGGTCCATGCAGTTGATGTTGACATTGTAGTAGATCTCGGCCTCCTGGAGGGCCTGCTTCACAGTGGCGTAGTCCCCCTTCTCCACAGCATTGAGGAAGGCCTTCTCCTCAGCAGAGAGCTCTGTCTCTGCCCTCACAATCTGTAGGGGGATGCGGTCTCTGTACGGTGAGTAGTTGACCTTTTTGTAGTACAGTTGTGCCATGGTTCATAGCAATTTTGAAACCTAAATGAGGAGACAGAGGGAGATCAAAGATATTGTTAGATACCTGCAGCTCTCAAGTGGTCAGTTATGGAGGCAGCCTTGCTAGGGACTTGAAAAATCCTTAGCTGTTTTAAAGCTACAATCTTTCCCCTCTTGCAAAGGAGTATATAGAAGAAAGAGCCCGGGCTTTTGGGTCAGAAAGACCTGGGTTCAATCTCTGGCTTTACCAGGTCTGTGACCTTAGAGAAGTTACTCAAGCTCACTGTGCTTCAGTTTCTTATTATTAAGCTTGTTTGTGTAAGTCACTCAGTTGTGTCCAGCTCTTTGCGACCCCATGGACTGTATCCTGGTGGGAAATAATTTTCCAGGCAAGAATACTGGAGTGGGCTGCCACGCCCTCCTCCAGGGGATCCTCCTGACCCACGGATTGTACTGGGTCTTCTGCATTGCAGGCAGACTCTTTACCGTCTGAGCCATTAGGGAAGCCCTGTTAAGCTTATCAATATTAATAGCATTAACAGCAGCAGGCCCCACGCTAAAGACTAATTCCTATCTCATAAAGCTATTGTGAGAGTTAAATGAGATAATGACTGATCACAGTAACTGGTAAAGAGCAAACCTCCTGAGACATGGCACAAGTTAGTTTTTTCCTTCCCTTCTGCTGTCTGGAAATACTCATGATAATACTTCTGATTGCTGATGCAAAGTTGGATCTCATTTTTGGCTACTTTTCTTTGGACTGTGGGCCTCTGCTAATTTGTAGGATTACATTTGCAGCTGCCCTGGATGCAGATCCTGGATTGAAATCCTGTCAGAGTGCTAACTGAAGCCGCCTTCTGACTGCTGCTCACTGGGGAAGAGGGTACTGACTCCAACAGACTACAGTCATGTACCGCCTCTAGCCCCTCCTGATGTTTTTCCTCCACCACCTAAACCAAGCAGCTGACATATCTGAGAATCTATCTGGTTCAATTCTGAGAAGTGACTGGTCTGCTTTACATGCACTACATCTAAAGCCTGATTGTAATAGAAGTGATTTCAAAGCAAAACCTATTGAGTTCCTACAATATGTTTAACTTTCTCTTGGAGAACAAGAATAAAAGATAATCTTTGCTTTTAATTGCATAGAATGAATCACAATATAGAGCTCTGCCTTGTAGTTTACAGACTGAATTCATGCACATTTCTCATTGACTCTTGTACTAGCCCTATGAGATGGGAATGCCTATCCTCCCCAGGGCAGATGAGGCTCAGATCCATGAGGTGACTGACTCCCCTTTCCCTACTATCCCTGGGACCTCCAAGACTCTCTGGAGGCTGAGGTTGGATGAACTTATTTAAGTGTCTTTCATTACTGAACTGTTTTGCCAGCAAAAAAGAAATGGAAATGTGATAAAGGGCCTCTTGTCTCATCTTCTGGATGTAAGAGACGATGAAGACATGTGGCTTCCACAAACATTTGCCTTACTCTTCCAGGTAATTACATCTCTGCTTTGGCAGAGTGAGCGGCATATTTTATACCAAGTGGTATTTGCAATTCATGCGTTTGTGATCTTCTGGGAAGTTAGTGTTTGAAGGTTAGTGTTGCCTCTTGCCCTGAACAGGCCCAGATGACAAATTTCTCTCTGCATCCAAATCTCAGGAGAGCAGACTACTGCTTGGCTGTCTTGAGAAGCACTGATATTTTCTTGTGCTACTTTCAAGTAACTCAGCAATGACTAAAGAAAAGTGGCATTTAGAGGAAGCATTTGTCACTAAACAGCAAATTACTTTAATAATACTAATTGTAGAACGCCTCCCTGACTCTCTGTCTCCATTATAAAGAAAAAAGGGAGGAGAAAGAAGAGAGTGAGATCTCCTCAAAAGAGACTCAACAGCCCAATTCAGTTTACATTTTTTAATTAATCAACATGAACACACTGGAAGCCTTCAGCATGCCTAGCACTGTGCTAGTCATTTTTGGAACAGAAGAAAGAAAAAGTTCCCTGCCTTCATCATCTCCCACTTGGACCATTCCACACACTTATAATGAGTCATCCTGACTCCATTCTCTCCCCTTCCAGAATGTCTTCCATACCACCCCCAAGTTATCCTGTGAAACATAAAGCTGATCCTATTTCACTTTCCTTGGTTAGTATCCTGCTGCTTTTCTAATGAAATCAACACTCCTTTCTGAGATCTACTTACTAGGTCTTGGCTTGTGTTTGTTTACCTCTCTAATGTCATTTGAAAGCACTCTCTCACCTTCATCCACTGTTCTTTAGTCCTGTAAAACTTCGTTTGATTCTTCCAACATGCCAAGTTTTTTCCTACCTCAAGACCTTCGATCATCTCCTGGAACACTCTCCTCCAACTCTTCATTTTTCAAGCCTCAACTAAATGTCACCTCTTTGGAGATGCCCTCACCAACTGCTCTCTATAAAGTAGTTCCTTCATATTCTTCTCTCCATCATAGCCATAGCCTTTTCTCTTCTTTCTTGACGTTAATCAAAATTTCTAGTAACACAGACATATGTCTTTGTCTTCCTGAGTAATCGTCTGTTCAGTCCAATTTGCTTTAAAGCTCAAGTTCAGAGGTTGCATCTGTCCTGTTTTTCTAGCATTCATCCAAGCCCAGTTCCTGGCATACCGTGGATGCTGGATATATGTGTGATGAATGAATGAGTAAACCTTCCATGATATTCTCTCATCTCTCTCCTTCTCACCCCAAGTTCTAGCCTACTGAGCCATGTTCTCTGAGTTACCCTTTCATGATCATGTGTTTGCACATGGCTCCATCCTACTTTTTCCATTTAACAAATTCCTCTCTACTTCAGCACCTTGCTCAGAGGTCCCACCCTTCTCTGTGAAGCCTTCCCCTGATGCCCTCAGAATCTCCCCCTGGGTTCCCCACTGGCACTCAGATCACATTTGTTCTATATCACTCAACTGCATCTTTGTCTTCCTGCTGTTTGTGTAGGGATACCTTGATTCCTGCCTTCCTAGCACTTACACAGGGTCTGAAACATGACGAGTGCTCAACAAATAGATGTTTAATGAACAAATACAATCTAGCTGAGGGGGTCAGCACAGTCACAAATGAGTACTAGATTTTGTGGTACTGATTTGATGCTTGGGGTTTTCAGAAAGGGCTCTGTGAGGCTGAAGTCTCAGAGGTTTCATGGAGAAGATAGCTGTTATCCAGTCCTTGAAGAATTAATTTAGTGTGAAAATATTAGGGTAGTTCAGGTATCACAAGAACAAATGTGGTGGGCTTGATCATAGTCTAGTTGGGATAGTGTTGGGGGCATATTTTTAAGGCTATAATAGAATACAGGGATAAGAGATAAACTAAAATTATAAGGCAACAGCTCAAAACTTGTTTGACTATATTAAAAATGATCTTAAACACTTGACATATATACACTACCATGTGTAAAATAGATAGCTAATGGGAAGCTGTTGTATAGCACAGGGAGCTCAGCTTGGTGCTCTGTGATGACCTAGATGGGTGGGATGAGGGGGCAGGTGGGATGGGGGAGTCCAAGAGTGAGGGGATATATGTATACATATAGCTGATTCATTTCAGTGTACAGCAGAAGTTAATACAACATTGTAAAGCAATTATACTCAAACAAACAAACACACACACACACAAACCAAAAAAAAGAAAATCCACTTGCTGCCCATTTGCCACTTAAGAGGCTGTGCTATCATGTGCTTAGTCCCTCAGTTGTGTCTGACTCTTTGTGACCCCATAGACTGTAGCCCACCAGGCTCCTCTGTCCATGGGGATTCTCTAGGCAAGAACACTAGAGTGGGTTGCCATGCCCTCCTCCAGGGGATCTTCCCAACCCAGGGACCAAACCCAGATCTCCTGCATTGCAGGTGGATTCTACCATCTGAGCCACCAGGAAAACTCCTTAAGAGACTACTATTGGAAGAAAAGGCTAGATGTCTTTTCAGATGGTGTGGCTGGTGGTTCTGGACTAAGTATTACTGCCACAGGAAGGTCTGTGTCCACGTTAGCAAGATACAGCTTTAAGGGAAACTGAAGACAAATGTGTCCCAGGAAAAGGTGAGAACACAGGGAACTAATTCAGTCAAAGCCCTGTTGAGTGCCAGGCACTATGCCAGGAGCCAGAGTGATAAATTGTTCCACTTTGGGGATAATTCATATGTCCTGGGCACTGTGCCAGGTACTGGGGCAGCATTAATACTACTCCTGCTTCTAGTATTAATAATAATGAAAGCAACAAGAAGTACATTCACTGAACTCTCACTCTATGCCAGATGTGTGAGTTATAGTAGTAAAGAGAGAGGACAGTACAATCATGGTCAATTTGCAACTTGAAGTAAGTATAATTGGATGATCTATAGTCAATTCAGAGTCTACTGTTACTTTTCATCTCTTGCATTTGAAATTAATCTGGTCTATTGCATTTCCAGTGGGCTGTGTTATAAGAAGCTTTGTGGTATTCCCCTGTAGAGAAAAAAACCTCTCCTCCAGAGGTTGCCTGAGAAATACTACTAGAGGGTGATTCCTTCACTTTAAGGCACTCTATTCTTAAAAACTACCCCTGGAAGGGATAATAAATTACATGGCCAATAGCCAGTAACACTTTAAGGTGAATTCCTTAATTAGGAAAGTTGCTGTGGCCTTGGGAGTAAAGAGATGTATGTTTAGAAGGACAGGGAAGATGTGATGTAGGGGAAAGAAGAGGCCTGGATGTCTCTTTTATGTACCCATGCCCACCTCTATACTACACAGGATATAAAATGGGCTCCCCATATAGTCTGAAAAATTGATGCTTTTGAATTGTAGTGCTGGAGAAGACTCTTGAGAGTCCCTTGAAAAGCAAGGGGATTAAACTAGTTATTATTAATTAATTATTATTATTTATCCTTCATTGTTATTAATCCTAAAGGAAATCAACCCTGAGTATTCATTGGAAGGACTGATGCTGAAGCGCCAATACTTTGGCCACCTGATGCGAAGAGCCAACTCACTGGAAAAGACC